GCCGGCCTTCCGTTTGGCTTCCGCCGGTCAAGCCGCCGCCGTTTCACTTCCGCCGCCTTCCGTCGACCTTCCACCGCCTTCCGCCAAAGGAAAGATGCCAACTCGTTCGACCCTCAAAGGCGAGGCCCTTTTCTGGAACGCCTCACGTGCTGCGGGCGCTCTTGGGCCACGAGCGCGACTTCGCCATAAGCCTCGGCAGTGCGGTTGGAATCCACGCCGCCAGCAAGGCCTCAGACCTGAGATGCTCCGCGGGGCAGAGCCTGGAGCCTTCATTGGGTGTCTCCTCGACCGTCTTGGAGGACCTGGTAGCTGGCCTGAGGAGGCCAAAACCAATGAAACATACGGCCACACAGAAGAACATCCTTCAACAACTTGAGTGAGGCCCTCCACCAGACAAAGCATCCCGATATGCACAAACAACATCCAAGCAAACACGAAGAACATTAGGGTATCCTCCCCGAACCGACCTCGATCTTATACCTCGGTCCGACCCTACATGTTTTTCGTGTTCACAGACTCGCCTTCTCGGTCTGAAGAGCGTCCACGACGGTCAGAGAGGCCCTCAGTATAGCCCCATGTCGGCCCCTGAGGCCAAAGAGGGTCTGAGAGGCTCCCATGACTGCCCCAAGAGGGGGAACACGTGCTGACATGTCGAGCCCTTTCCTCCAAGATGCCCCCCCGAGGACACCAGCAGGGCCCCACGAGGTCCTTTCCTCCAAGATGGCCCCCGAGATCGCCAGCAGGCCCTCGAGAGGCCCCCAGGAAGCCCACTAGGGCCCCTCAGAGGCCCCCAGGAGACTTTCAAGAGACCCCCCAGAGGCCCCCGAGACATCCGAGACGCCCCGAAGAGGCCGTCCAAGAGCCGCCGACATGCTTCTAAGAGGCCTCTTGTCCACGACCCCAGGCACTTTGGCGGGATGGGCCGAAGGCCAATCAATTCCGACTGCAAGTAAGCCTAACGATCTGGCTGAATGAGACGGACTGATTCAACGACGTAGGATCCAGCAATCCGAAGACAACGCGTTTGCATATGCCGCTTGATTATGGTGGGGCCTTCGCTCGCGCTTCGAGCACATTCCAGTCCAAACGTGCGTATGGGAAGGAAGCAAACAATCCAGCTGGTGTGAAGGGGCCATGCTTTTTCCAGTATCGAAATTCCCTGCTGTGTCCGCGTGCAGACTTTCGAATGACACGAGCGAGAAGGCCGTGGCAATGACGCGGCAGGTATGGAACAAGAGATGCCAGGAAGTGGAGACGAGGTTACGAGCTGCAGATGCGCTGTGTCTACGCCGCTGAACGACCCTCCCCCCGCAACTGCGACCCATGCAGCAGAGAGGCGGAACATCATAACTAGAGGGGCCCACCACAATCAAGACGAGACTGATACACAGTCTCTAGCAGGTCAATATTTGGCCGATGAGGTTGAGTGGGGATACATCGATTATAGCCCACCGCTACCTCTAGCGTCTCACCGTTGTCACCCCTGGCAAGGTCGTTCCTAACTGTATGATACACTGTGTTCAGAGCGTGTGCTCTGCTGCTCTACTGCGAGCTTACTGGTGCTCTGCCAGCTTAGTGCTGACGACATAACTTCCAAAGACTGCCATCACTACTAGAACGCGGCGCGAGGCCAAGGCGCCAGAGTGAAGCACATCCCGATGGCAGCCTGACATCGTGTTTACACTCAAGGATCTCAAAGGCAGCGCACTGCGAGGGTAGCCAGAATGATATAGCTTCCGCTGGTCCTCTCAGACAGTGCCCAGGTGCTCGGAGACGTCGACAGTTTCGAAAACGGTGCGGGGGCGTGCGGCCAGGGGGTCAGAATGATAAAACTCCTGCTAGCCCTCTCAGAGTGTGACCAGGAGCTCGAAATCGTCGGCGTTTGCGAGGATGAACCCTCGGGGATCTACTGAACCAGTTCAGTCCAAACTCAGGTCAATCGGGCCTTGCAAGATCCTACAAGATCCTGCGTGATCCTGCTGGATCCTGCGCCAAAGCCCGGGTCAGTGCGCCCCTGGCCCTGCAATATCCTGAAGACTCTGGCGCTCTGACTGACTCCCGTTTGCACTGATCTCCGTCTTTTGAGCCGCGAAACCCTAGTAAGCAAACAGTGCCCCACCCCTGGCGATATCGTTAGCACCAAGACACAGGAAGTAGCATTGCCTCGGCGGCGTCCTCCAGGCGATGGATCGTCAGCACATAGATTAAAGAAGTTTTCCCTCGGGGATCCTCCAAGGAATCTCAACGGAGCCTCAGAAAGGAACCCCAGAGGACATAAGGAGTTTGAAAGACGCGGGCTCTCTTGGACATATGCAATCCGCTTCCCCTCGGGGATCCTCCAAAGGAACCTCAACGAAGCCTCAGAAAGGAACCCCAGAGGACTTCAAGTAATTTGGAGGGCGCGGGCTCGCGTGGACATGTGCAATCCCGATTGCGATCCCGATGTAGACGTGGATGATGTCAGAGGGTTCTGTGGGAGACTCCACGGAGGGATATCGCAGACGGATTCTGCGCAGACAACCGCGATATATTATCACATGAAACGCACACACACACATACACAAACCGTCATCCGACGATGTCGAGACACGCTAAACTAGCGAAACGTATAAACAATCGGAATGCGATCTAATTTGAGCCGTCTATGGGCGAGCTCGGCGGTCGTATGGATTGTCTTGGGGGCACGGCTCCCGAAACCCACCTCGAGTTCCTTCTCTTGAACTCCTGTTGGGGGCCTTCTAGGGGGCATCTTGGGCCGTCCTGGGAGCATCTTCGGCAGTCTTGGGCCCTGTTGGGCCGTCTTGGAGCCCTCTTGGAACCCTGGTTGGCAATTCTCTGGATCTCGGCATGCTCTTGTGCCGTCTACGGCGTTCGGAAGCCCAAAAATGCGAGCCTGCTGAAATCGTTCGAAAACACAGCGGGAAGAGTTGATGTTTGCGTTTGGGGGCCATCTTGGGGGTCCTCTTGGGAGGCTCTTGGGCTCTTGGGGCGTCTTAGAAGCAATTTGAGCCACATGAACCCGTCTTCGGCAATCTTGGAGCGTTCTCGGCCCGTCTTGGGGCTCTCTTGGGTCGTTTTGGGCTGGCCCCGTGGCGTCCTGGGCGCATGTTGAACCCCCCCCCCTGGCCCCCGATGACGCCCCCCGAGGGCCCGTCGGTACTGGGTTCTTCAGACTCCCTTAACAAGAGCACACACACACACACGCACACACACAAACATATATATATATATATATATATATACACACACCACACACACAGACACGCACACACGTCCCCCCAGACCGTCGGATACTCTTCGAAATCGTCTTGGGAGCGATTCGGGGCCCTCTGGAGCCGCCTTGACGGCGGTCTGGGATCGATCAGGGGAATATGACTGGGTTGTTGGTCAGAGGCCTGCAAGGGGTATCCTGGGGTCTCTTTGGAAGTCTCTCGGAGCCCAGTCGGGGGCCTCTTGGGGGTCTCCTGGAGCCTTCCCGGGGGCCCTCTGGGGTCTCTTGGGTGCTTTTGGGGGGGCCCTTTTGGGGGCATCCCGGGGGCCTCTTGGGGCCTGTTGGGGGCCTATTGGCGGCCTCGGGGGTCATCTGTGGGCGGCGAACTAACAGTTGCAGCTCGGGGCCCCCCTCGTGGGCCCATCTTGGGGCCCTCTTGGGCCGTCTTCGGGGCTTCTTGGTCCGTCTTGGGGCCCTCTTAGGCTGTCCAGGAGGTCCTCTGGAGGGCCTGGGCAGTCCCGGGGGCGGCTTTGGAGACTCTTTGGGCAGTCTGAATCTACGCTTTCCTCAGGGAATGGAGCGACTGCTACTTCTCAAGGCCCTCTTGGGGATCCTCTCGGAGCGGTCCTGAAGCGTCGTGGGCGCTCCTTCGACCGCTTGACAGGGGACCCCTGGAGGGCGTCGTGGGGTCGACTCGGGGCCGTCCTTGGCCGCCGCAGCAGCTGCCTGGTGGCTCCCAGAAGCGATTGTGGGCCCCCCTCCTCCTCCTCCTCCTCCTCCTCCTCCTCCTCTCCTCCTCGTCCTCCTCCTCCTCCTCCTCCTCCTCCTCCTCCTCCTCCTCCTCCTCCTCCTCCTCCCCCTCCCCCTCCTCCTCCGAGCACCCCACGGAACCCCAGCAGGGCAACGTCAACGGAACCCCAGCGGAAGCCAACGCAGCTCTCCCTCCGCCCGCCCCGGGTGGGCTCCCCGGCTGCGGGCGCCTGGCGAGGAGATCTCCTGGGATCCGCAGGGGGCCCGTCCTCGGAGCCCTCCTCCTGCTCCTCGCGCCCGCCCAGGAGGGCCTTCCTCCGCGGGCCTCTGCGGGGGGTCCCCCTCCTTCCCCTCCTCCTCCTCCTCCTCCTCCTCCTCCTCCTCCTCCTCCTCCTCCTCCTCCTGTCCTGGGGTGAAGGAGACCGTGCTGTCTGCTTGGCAAGGCTGGCCACGTCTCCCGCCGACCCTCTCGGAGGCAGCGCAGGAGCGACAGACCGTCGACGGCCTCGAGGAGGAAGGGAGGTATAAAGTACCTGGGCTGGCGGACTGTAGGCCCTGCGGCTGACTCGATCTCACAACATGCGCAGGGAAAGAACGCGGGTTTCGATTCTCAAATGAGCTCCGATGGGTCGCCCATTGGAGAATGCCCAGGAGCTGGAATCGCAGACAACTTCTAATACCCCAATAGGGGGATAAGACTGACATTTCCTGGTGGCCCTCTTCTAAAGCGCAAGGGAGGTGAACATCGTCGACCACTTCAAAGATGGATGTGGTATTCCATGGGCGGGGCCAATGACCAGACATGCCCCTGCTCTCAGAAAATGCCCAAGACATGGAATGTTCCTGTCGCTTCGAACATCAGTTGGAGAACCCTACGAGTCGGATGGATGACAACAACTCCCCTGGCCATCTCTGAGAGCTCCCTGCAGGAAACAAATATTGCTTCTGGAACTACAGAATGCTGCGGTGGACGATAAGAACAATATCAAGTCCCGAGATCCGTAGTGGATAGACGCTTCGATCCTGGTCGAGCTCTTCGCTGGTAGACCTTCAACTATTTTTGGCACGGGTCCTCTGGAGACCTTGCGCGGGGCAAGTACGGGCTTCCTTCCTCCAAGTCGGGGAGACGTAAGACCTCCATTTGGAGGACTCGAATTTGCCTGACAGCGCCAAAGGAACAATTGCGGTACCTAGTTTGAAATTTGATGCGACATGCTGCTGCAAACATTTGACGAAAACAGGGCCATAAAAATTCGTGCCGGACCCGTCAACGAGCGGCGGCAATCTCGAGTTCTGGAAAACTCGATTCTTCATTTCCCCGTATAGGGCTTGAGGCCGGTGCAATGAGAACCAGGGCCTTCTCCAAAGGCTGATCTCAGCAAATCCGAATGATTCTCTAGGGTGACGTTCACGCTACCTAGACTTGCATCCACTGCTACATGTTGGGGAGCCTCCACCAACTGATCTACTGCTGAGCCAGACCTGGAACTCAAGAATCAGCGCTGCAAGGCGGGCGGGAACCACAAGCTGTGGACGTGCGAGCGACGGTCTCTGGATGGGGAGATTGCGACTAGTGGACCGTCGCCGTTTGCGCGCTGCGCAGCGCGCCCAAGGGGGTCGTAGCGCGAACAAGCTTTTAGCAACAACTCGGCAAGACCAGCACGGAACCATATCTTATCTGGCTGGCCTCTGCGAAAGATAGACATGGGCTGCGTGACCGTTGCTCCCGCGAGAGCGTTGCAGCCAGGACTAGAGTCTTTATCGAGGACTTATCTGCGAGAGAAGGGGCATTCAGCATTCCAGTCTGTTGCCGCCCGGGGACTAGCTAGCATACAGCGGGGGACATTGGCAGGATGATCGATTGCCATTCAGGCGCTGAGGACAATACGCTCAGTGGTACGCCGAAGAAGGTCGTGTGCCTGTCTACTGCTTCGGTCCCTGCCTCAGGCCGTCTCTGAGAAGCCCTGCCAAACCGTTGCGTTGGGAGATGCACCGGTGTAGGTGCTGCTACCCCGGGGCCTGATCTTCCCCTGAGCTCACATCTGCGTGGCGAGCCACATCAATGCTGAATCCATGGTCAGGGTGTTTTGACCCTGAGTAACGTTCGCCCTCTGGTACAACCGGCGGCATGAGCTCCCGGCGGATGATCATCTCGAAGAGACTCTTGCCGCCAGGCATCCTGAAATACGCGTGCTGCCTGACTTCGTCGAGGCCGTCAATGCCCGCGCCGAGCCGGCGCTCCGGTCTCCGACAGAGAAGACTTTGAATGAGCGCCCTTCCGCACTGGTCTTTGTACTTCTGTGGGAACTCCAAGTCGCTCTTCAGGACGCTGTTCCGAATCTGCGCGGGGTCGGTCTCCACGTGGCCAAAAGGAAGTCTCCTGCAAACAAGAATATGCAGCAGAACTCCCAATGCCCAGACGTCAACCTCAGTACCGTAGCCGTGGTTTTGTAGCATCTCGGGTGCCATGTAGTGTGGGGTTCCCAGGCAAGTGAAGGTCCGCCCAGTATCGTCAAGGCGCTTGGCAATGCCAAAGTCGATAAGCTTAATATAACCTCGGGCATCAAGCATCACATTTTCCAGTTTGAGATCGCGGTAAACAATGTCACGGTCGTGCAGATGCTCAAGCGCCAGAAGTAGCGAACCAATATAAAATTGAGCCTCGCAGTGAGTCAGAGGCTTCCCCATCTGAAGCACAGCAGTGTAGAGGTCGCCGCCAGTGATCAAGTCTGTCAAAATATATACGCTGCTGTCGGTCTCGAGCGTCTTCACCAACTGCAGCGTGAAAGGATGATCCATCTCAGCTAACAGTTCCGACTCTCGAATTGCTAACTGTGCTTGCCGTTGTCCCGTTGGGCCCTCTTTGCGCACCTGCTTCAATGCATACCTGAGGCCAGTCTTCTTGTGCTGCACCATGGAAACGCGGCCAAACCCGCCTTCTCCGATGAGACGGATGCTTGTTAAATCGCTGAGCTCGACATTGGTATCTTGAAGATCCATACGCTTTACCAATTCCGACCGCAAGTCCTCCGTGAGCACGTGCACAAAATCTGCCTTCTCCTCGAAACAGGAAAAGGTACTGATACTGCTACCCTCGCATCGCCTTCCCCTTTTTAGGGCTCCTGGGAGGCCCTCGCCACCGCTGGATTTCGCCTCGAAATCCTTGTCAGAACGCAGCAGTACTAGTACCTGTTGGTCCCCCCGTCTCCAAGCACCACAGCACGGCCATGTCGCTGAGGACGACCACGGTGGCGCTGCGCGGCTCCTGGAAGAGCAGGCCCCGGTCGCCGAAGCTGCCGTTCTTGCCGAGCGTGCGCACAGCAGTTCCGCCGATCTGCACCTCGAGCACGCCACTGGCCACGACGTAAAGTGAAGTGCCCAGCTCGCCCTGCTCGATGACGCGGGAGCCTTTGGCGTACCGACTAGGCACGAACGACTTGAGAACGAGATGGACCTGCTCCCTAGAGAGGTGTCGGAGGATCGGAATGCGGTTCGCCATGAGCATGTCCTCTGCCAGCTCCGTGGTGTCCTCCAGGTCGTCGACGATGGGCGACACACCAAGCTCGGCGAGGGCCGTCGCGAAGCTGCTTCTGGTGAGAAGCGCAGCCTTGCACCCGACCGGCCCGGCGAGCAAATTGCCTCGCACCTCTGACGGCATCGATTCCGAACGTCCCTCCTCGTCGGGGCACGCTTCCCCAACGTATGTCTGGGTCCCAGATCGATTGGGGAAGAAGGCGTCAGGGGAAAGGAAAATTTGGCCACTACCAAGGTCCATCTGCGGGACTGTGCCCTGCGAGCGCAGCAAGCCGTTCATGACGTGCGCGTACTGAACGCTGCTAAGGCCGGTGCCAGTGTCAACGAGCTCATTCGGGGAGTAGTCCCTCACCTCCATGGCCTTCACGAGGTGAATCTTGTGGGCTCTGGAGAGGCCGGAAAGGAGCTTTATCTGATTAAGGCCCATCACCATGAAGGTCCTCTGGATCATGTCCGTAAACATGCTATCATCGCGCAGCACGGCTCTCAAGTCCTTACCAGGGATGCAGAGGATCTCACTCCTGCACTCGGCCTCGACTGTGGCCGCGGCGGCCAAGCCCTGCCGCCAAGGAAGGAGGGTTCCTGCACCGACGACGTCCCCAGGCTCGAAGCGCCTGACGGTATGAGGGCTCTCTATTTTGCGCACATAGTTCAACTTGCCACTCTTCAGGATGCGCAATTTGTTGAACCCTTTGAGTCCCTCGTGGCAAACGAACTCGCCAGCTGCAAGGATCTCTGTGTACGGAGTCAGATCGGCGATACTGCCCCTCACCCACGTTGGTAGGAACTGGAAGAGTGGGACTCGTCCAACGAAACTACGGTTCTCAGGTCCAGAACGTAATGCGCTCGTTGAAAGAAGCTTGAGAAACTGTGCGCCGTCGACTCCGAAGGCAATGGTGTCTTCTCGCGCCACGACGTCGTATGGCTCCTCGTGCCATGCGGTCAAAGCCCCAGCCCCTACAGTGGAACCGCAAGAAAGCTTGTGGCACACAACTCCGTCTTGAACCAAGTCTACGCTGCCGCTGGCCAATGCATAAAAACGGGTGCCCATTTCACCAGCCCTCAAAATATGTTCGCCAGCCTTGAAGTTAAACCGCAACATATTACTAGCCATCAGCTTGACATCGTCGGAAGAGAGCGATCTGCAAGCCGCATCTGTCTCGATGGTGGCTGTGAGATGCTCGATTCTGGATAATAGTTCTTCACGCGGACCGGTGCTGGGCTCCGCAACTGGCTCCTGCACCTCCATTGCTGGAATGGCCACGCCAGTCAGTGCTCTGGCATTCGCAGGAACAGCTGCACCCTAACTTTCCAAGTATAAGCAAGCACATGCTGTTGTTGCAGTTTTGGTGCCACAACGGCTTGAGCCGAATTGGGTTCTAAAATACTAGGCACGACCCCAAGAACCCAAGAATCCAGTTCTCGTGGCCATCGAGAGCGCAGCGTTTGGAAACAAATGAAAGTTGACCGCAATCCTGCCAAAAACAAATCGGCACTGCAATCCACATCAAGAAAAATCCGGGATGATCAAGCATCCGACATGCAATCCCATCTGGGACACAAACTTTCGAAACTTGTGTTCGCGTCTTCAATACGACGCTTTCCTCGGACCCCATCAGCCGTGGGGCGACGGTGACTCGCTGGAGGCGTCTTCGATCTGCCGCTTCCGAGGCTTCTGTTGCATCCTCGGGGGACCTTGTCTGTCCCGTCGCGGCCCTATCCACGTCGAATCCGTAGCCAATCCATGTCGGCCTCGTCGGATCCGCGTCGAATCCGTGTCGAATCCGCGTCGAATCCACGCCGAATCCGCGTCGAGTCCGTACCGAGCCCGCGTCAGGCACCTGAAAAGATACGAGTTCTGGGGACAGGCGAAGACCCCCGAAGATACAACATAACGAAACCTGCTGTAACAATGCTTGGCGTGCTGAATTCGGCACGCCCCAAAACAATTTCCGGCGGTCTTCGGCCCTACCCGCCGGCCGCCGGGAAAAATTGGACGTCGTGGGCTTTTCCGCGCAAGATGGCTCCAATAAAAAAACGAAGCTGAGACGAGGACAACATCGGGTACAGAAAAATCCAGAATCTCTGAGATCTGGCGGCTCTGGAGGATATATCGGACGCCGTGGCCTTCTCAGAACGTCCTGGAACGCTCTGAGAGCGTTCCAGAACGCTCTGGAACGGGTTTACCCTCGTCCTAGCCCCGCCCGGTCCAAGAGGGTCTTCAAGACGCTGAGACTGTGCAAAGATGGCCTCCAAAACGATGCTTGGCCGCTCAGAAAAGAAGGTCCCTGTTGCTTGCCACAAAGGGTGCTTGACGTGCCAACTGTCTACATAAGCTGTTTGGCCCGTTCAAGCCCGTCCAGCGGGCCCCGCGTCGAGCAGGGAAACTCTGGAACAACTCGCCAGGTGGCCAAGATGCCAAAGGTAGCTGCCAAGACGGCCCAATACGGCAATGCGGCCCAAGACTGTTCCAGAAGGCCTCCAAGACGCTCCCCAGGCGACCAGGATGCCCCCCGAAATAACCCCACAAGTTCAAAGAAGCTCTCTTGTGAGTCTGGGCCGCCTTGCGGGCCCTCGACGTCGGGCCGAGAGGCCACAGTGCTCGAAGCGCGCCCCCCAAAAATCGACCCCCTAAACGGTCCACCTATGCGCCAAAATGACGCCAAGACGGTACAAGCGGCCCCCAAGACGGCCCAGATGGGCCACAGAGGCCCAGAGAAGAGCCCAAAACGGTCATCTAAGGCGCAAGGCGGCACCCCTAGACGGCCACAGAAAGCCACAAGAGAGCCCCAGAGGGCACCAGGAGACCCCCAAGGAGGATCGAAAAACAGGAACACAAGCCACAAGGGAGACCCAAGACGGCCCCAAGGGAGAAAAGTCCAGATCCCAGCCGGACGGTCTGGATCCCAGCCAGTACTATAACTGGAACGGTCCAGTTCCCAACTGCTCTTATGTAGCCGCTTGATAGGCGCCACATAAACGCCTGATAGGCGCTTGAAAAGCGTTTCCTTGAAGGCGCCTCTTCGGCTCGTGAAGGATCCCCGTGGGTTCTTCGAAGGCTTACTGAAGAATTTTTTGAAATTCTTGAAGCATTCCTGAAGGATCCCTTGGGATTCCTCCCGATTCTTGAGCATTCCTTGGGGGCTCCCGGAGGGTCCTGAAGAACTCCTGATAGTCCACCCCTGAAGGATACCCCAAGGATTCCGGAGGATTCCGAAAGGGATGCCTGAGGAGTCCAGAGAGATTCCGAAAACAACTCTTGCAAGTTCCAGACCCCAAAAGATCCCTGAGGATTGTTCAAGGGTTCCTTTGAATTTCCGCAGGTTTCCTGAAAGGCTCCTGGGGGGGTCCTCCGGATTCGGAAAAGGCTCCCGAGGATTCCCCCGGATTTCCTGAGGACTCTTGAAGATCGCTCACCGATTCCTGAAGGTTCGTGCGGATACCTGAAAGGTTCTTGAGGCTGCCTGAAGTATTCCTACAACATCCCTACAAACGAACCCTGAGGACTCAAGAAGGATTCCTGAGGAAGTTGTCACGGTGTCCTCCGGCTTCTTGAGGGTTCCCAAAGGGTCCTGGGAATCCCGCCACCCCTCTGGGCGTAGGTGGTTTAATGAGTGTTGTTTTCTCTCTGCCAAAGCTCCCTCCTTCCCCTGCTCGGGGGAAGGTTTATCATGTCCCTATTCGTACACGCACCCGACTGGGCCAACCCAGGACATGCCCCCCACCCCCCACCGCCCCTGTCAAAAACAATACGTAATACACCCTGCCTCCAAATTTCGAACATGCGGGGGCGCCCCGCAACCATTCTGCATTAGTTTTGACAGGGACGGCCGCCTTTTGCAAACAAGCAATACAGAATGCGTTTCGCTTCCAAATCCAGAACACGCGCGGGCGCCCCGCGCCCACTCCGCGGGCGCCACGCGACCGCTCTGCATTGGCGTTTGACAAGGATGGCGGGGGCACCTTTCTTGATGCGCGCAGGCCCACCACCCCTGTGAGAAACATATTACTGAACGCACGTTGCCTCCAACTCTGGAGCACGCGCGGGCGCTACATCCGCCAATTCCATTGGCTTTTCGCATTTGCGCGCAAGTTGCGCGCAAGCCAACCGTCCCCATCAACAAACAATATAGAATGTACTTTGCCACCAAATCTGGGGCATGCGCAGGCGACACGCGACCACCCCGCATTGGCATTTGACTGGGGTGGCGGGGGTGCCGGCATGTTGTTCCATGCGCTCAGGCCAACCATCCTTCTCAACAAAAAAAACGCCTCACGTCCCCGCTGCGCAGACCACGTGGGATCCACTTCCGCCATGTCTGCATGGTCCCACCGCCCAGGGGTTGCAGGGCCATCGTCCGAACAACGCTCGTCGATGCCAGGCTCGTCGTCCGCCATATTGCGCATGCCAACGGCATCTCAGCCCTCTAATGAAACACTTGCCGCACTTGCCGCGCCTCGCACGCTTGGGCCTCCAGGGTGACTTGTGCACCTGAGCCCGTGGCGCACGTGGCATGCGTGGCATTCCTCGGCAATGTGCTGGGACGCGGGTGCTACTGATGTGCTGGGAGGGCGGGTGGGAGTGAGCGAGACGGTTTGCGGTCTCGGGATGGCATCGATCACTGTTCCCTATTAATATACGCCCCCTCCCCCAGGCGACTGGGAACCAACCCGGGTCAATGAGGGCCCCCCCCCCACCATCCCTAGTAAAAAACAATTCAAAACACACTCTGCCTCCAAATTCGGAGCATGCACAGCGAACCCGAAGCCGCCTCCCCTCGCCATCCCTGTCAAAGAAACAATACAAAGTACACTTGGCGGCGGCGGCGGCTGCGGCGGCTGCGGCGGCTGCGGCGGTGACGGCGGCGGTGGCGGCGGCGGCGGCGGCGGTGGCGGCGGCGGCGGGGGCGGCGGCGGTGCGGCGCGCGGTGGCGGCAGCGGCGGTGGCGGCAGCGGCTGCGGCGGCGGCGATTCGGCAGCGGGGGCGACGGTGGCGGCGGCGGCGGCGGACGGCGGCGGCGGGCGGCGCGGCGGCGGCGGCGGCGGCGGCGGACAGCGGCGGCGGCGGCGGCGGCGGCGGCGCGGCGGCGGCGGCGGCGGCGGCGGCGGCGGATTCGCCCCCAGTAGCTGCCCATCCAAAGACGACTGCTGAATATGCTGCGGCTCGGGCCAGGCTCGGGTGCTACGTATGTGTTGGGAGGGCGGGTGGGAGTGAGCGAGACGGCTTGCGGGCGGGGAGGGAGTCTTGACCCCTCCCCCTACCCCCTCCCCTGGGCCAGGAAGGGGCGCCCCGCGAAGGTTTAGAGCGTTCAAGATGGCCAACATGGCTCCTCGAGGGCCTCTGAAAAAGGCAAACTGGCGTCCAAACTTGTTCCAGATAGCTCAAGATGGGTCCAGGTAGCAACTGGCACGCATCCAAGTGGCCTCATAACGTCCCCCAAGACAGTTTCAAATGCTCCTCGAGCCTGCCAAAGGACCTCTGCAACTCAAGACAAGAGGGGCCCCAGAAAGCCCCAAGGCAGTCCTTAAGGGCGTCCAGAAACGCCCCAAGAACGCCTCAAGGCGCCATTCGTCAACCCTCCACGCGCGAGGGGGGGCTGAATCCCCGAGACCTCGTTTGGAGTCCATGGGGGCCAAGATGGCCCCAAGAGGCCCCCCAGACTCCCCGCCCAAGGCGGTTGTTACACTGCACTCTTCTACACTTCTCTGATCAAGGCAACTCGCCTGGCGATCTGCTTGTGGATGGGCTGGTGGGGATGCGCGAAGCGTCGAGAATTCCTGAAGGGTGCCTGCCTGAAGGGGTCCTGAGGATTCCTGCGAGATTCCTGAGAATTCTGCTGGGTTCCTGGGGATTCCCTAAGGATTGCTGCCCCTGACGCTTTCCTGGCGATTTCCTGTTGACTCCGGACGGTTGCCTGAGGGAGTCCTTAAGATTCTTCTAGGACATCCCACACGAAACCTCAACATATCAGTGCGGATTTCCCCCTGAGGCTCCTCTCGCATATGTTTTCTGTTTCTGCATGTTGTATACTCGATCATATACGTAATTTGTCTACGTGTTGCACACGCCTTGAACAGTTTCCAACTACGTGTCGCATGCGTGTGGTGTGACGTGTTTCACTAGTGTTGGATACGTTTTGGATACTGTCGGCGCGCTTGCATACAGTTCCTAACGCGCCGACCCCCGCTTCCCGCCGGACGCTTCAATCATATATATTTGTTTCCCAATCATCCTGTGGTGTTGGGTCCTCGTTTTGAAGAGACGGCGCCCCACGTTCTTTCCTCCACGTTGGCACACCGCTCACAGGTTTCGTGGCCCCATCGGAAGCTCAACAGAAGGCCCCAGTGGCTGTGACTACATCCGTCCCCGCCACCCATTTCGGCACACATATGAAATGCTTCGTGGCAC